TGTTTGGTAAATAAAATGTGGGTGTTTTACCGGTTTGGAGTTTTTAATGTATTCGCCCCCCCCCCCCCCCCCCTTCCACGTCCTCAAATTAGATTTCTGTGCTGATGCTCTTTCGTACACGATATCCTCCGTCTTCTATTCCGAGAGAACAGAATGGAAGTGGCTGTATTTGCACCCCCCCATCCCGTCAACCAATCCCACGCCCCTCCTCCTACTCCTCTTCTTCTGCTGGTACTGCGCCTTGGGAGGTTGTTTCCGCCCAGCCAGCCAGCCAGCCGATCTTACCCAGGATCGTGGCTTTCTCCGTTGTACTGCGTGAGACAATGTGACGGACGACCACGAGATTCCCGCGGCGGGTTATCCTCGCCAAGGACGGGGGAGACAAAGAAGACAGAGACGGTTGCGCGTCTTATCCTGCTTTTTTCTGTTTCTTTTTCTTTTTGTCGACTCTTCTTCTTCTTCTTCTGTGTCGTCCCGATCCTTCGGCCCTCGGAACAAGATCGTCGTCATCGGCAGGACTGCTCCTGCTGCTTGAAGAGAAGGTGGCTGCATGTAAGCTGCATTCGGTACGTGGAGGGGTGGCTTATGATGGCTTTGCTTTGGCGGAGTGCGTTCCGTTGACTACCTAATGTGATGAGGAGGGGGATAAGGGAGCGGAGGAGAGGTCCGGATGACGTTTTCGGTCCGGGAGATGCGGGGTGAGGGGCCGGGTGCGGTGTCTTGGTTCCCGGGGTTGGGTCCGGGGGATGCGGGGTGGGTATCATTCGAATGATGGGTTACTCGACAGGTATGTAACTTCTCGTTTTAAGACCAAGAATGGCGTCTATCACGAAATACCGTAGACTTCGGCCGATAAAGTTTCGGCGTAGAGTCATGGGAGGAAGGAGTTCGCGAATCAGAGGCCACAGGGACTGGTGGTACCCGGCGATGGCCACCGAGCTTCTCAGCCCAGTTCCGGGAGAAATCAATGAGGCTGAATCATCTTGCTTATTGCTCGGTTCTGCGCTTCCCACTCGTCTTCAGCCCGCAAAGAGTGCCGTCTCAGCGCGCACAGAATTGTGTTGTCAATTCCGGCTATAAAAGGAGCAACACGTAGTCTGCCCTGGTGACTTCAACCGAGAGCAGTGTCATTGCTGCGTATATGCTGTGACGCGAAAGGCTTGATCGAAGAACTGAGACTAAGTCAGGATGGAGTATTCCTCGTTGATGGCCAATTTGTCAGCGAAGGTTGGGAGATTGAGGGTAGCTATTGGATAAGCGTGTTGAGAATACGTGCCTGAAATTGAGAGATGACGACTACGGACAGTTCCATGTCCTGTGGACTTCCCGCGTTGTTGCTGGAGACACACTGCTGCTCAGTCAGACCTCGTTGACTCCGGGCTTCAAAACTTCCAGATCCCATGCTGCCCACTGGAGTAAAGACAACGATGCAATGCTTTGATGAACTAGCTTTCTGCCTGTACAATATCTCTCTTTTAAACACCAGACGCCATGACGTGGTACTGTCAAGCAGCCGATATAGTTGGGCTGCGGAGATGAGTGATGTGAGTGAGTGAACTCCCGCCGGGGAAACGGGATCGGGCGTTCTCGAAGCATCAACCGTTGAGAGAAACATCCACGTGGAATCAGCCTATTCAGGTTGAAATTCTATCGCGTTGCTTCCTGTCAAATATCGAATGTAGGTTGTACTCTCGATTCTACTCTCTAGCGTCTTTGCGCATGTGATCTACCTTTTCAACCCTACCGATTGGCTCCTCGTTGTCTCTATCCTACTCGAATTGATGTTGCTGACCAGTCTCATATTTGTGGTCATGAGACATGGGTGTCCTACGATTGTTATAGCTATCAAAAAGAAACCATATGAATCCTCCAGAGAGACTGGTCGTATCGTGGCACAAAACGACGTCTGGGTGGAGATCATACTCGTCGGACGTTCCAGAGCATGGGTGGCAACGTTGACTGTTTGAGATTGCAGCAATGTCAGTCTACGTTGCTATAAGACTTCTCAAAGATCGATTTTGCCAATACCGTCTTGATTGAAACGAGATCAAACGAATGGCGTCATTCCGCTGGCTCAAGACGAGCTGGTTTCGTGTCTGATGTCGCATCAAGAAGTGGACTTCCGAGCCGGCAATCTAGAAAGGCATATGTGTATAGCAGTCGAGGTTCAGGAATAGCTGCTTCATGCTTGTTGCGAAATGTCCAGATTTTCTGTATGCAAACGAGGGTTCACTTGATTGTGCATGTGCTCCGAAATCATAGCCACAAGTATTTGACTCTGAAGATGATCGCAGCGTCGTCCAACGTCTCAATCACGCTCTATCCATGGGGTATTACTGATATTATAGCGCAGTGGGGAGATGCGTTCGTTAACAAACGCAAAGACAAAAGACAGAAGCATTGGTCTATTCTCTCAAGTAACGTCCTCGTATTGTTACCAGCTGACTCTGAGCAAGCACCACACATGAGCTACCGTACTCGCTGCGGTTTGCTCCCAGAGGCTTCAGTCCAACCAGATACTTCCTTCTATACCACATCGAGACCTACAACCGAGTGAACCCAAAAGAGTCCGAGGCATACGGTGCTATCTAGCCTTTCTGGCTTGCTGCTTCGTCACTTCAACGGACATTGCAATACCAGAATCCAGCAGAGACCGTTCCAGCCCCCTATAATTGACACGCCGCGACGCAGCGGCATTGTATTATTCTGACAAATTGAGTCGCCAGCCTCTGAGAAGACTAAAAAAGCTTCAACGCAAGGCGCGATACTAATCGGTTGGAGAGGGTCTCTTCGCACACAATCCTACCGCCTTTGACCGCAAAAGATCTCAGCCATCTCATGATCCATCATCCCCGTCGTCCACGAAGTATTCACTCATGCGCAGCTTTCCCCGAGGTAGAGTAGGGAATGAATGCGTATAGTAACGAAGTGTTGCTTCGTGAAATACACGAAATTGCTTGTGACTGGAGTCAAATACCAGCAGTACCAGAAGCGGATGCATCCATGTGCTGTGTCTTCTCTCTCCTATGACCAGTGCTTGGTTTTATAAGTCACGGAAGGGGTGTGATACGGGGCAATATGCATTTCATTCCAATGGTATTCTCATAGATGATATCGTTCATCACTTGTAATGGTTATATAATAGTCCTCGACCTCATGAACAACCCAGCAAATAAACTCCTCCTCCAGGGTGTTGTTCAAAGAACGACTCTCTCAGCACAGGACGCATTGAGAAGGAATAGAATTGGTGTACTTGGCACCTTGTGATTCCAATACCGCCAACTACAAAATGACTCTAAGAACATCATCTTCCATCACCGACATCGTTCGCGAGGTATTCGGTCATAATAGTTTTAGACCTAACACATTCCGTAAAGACCAGGACGGAGTGACATGGATCCGGGCACGTAACTGCTGCTTGCTTCACGGCATAGGCACTCCAATATCTTTCCACTCGTCCCCTGGATGTATCTGTGTGACCAACGCCTCGTCTTGAACAGGGTCTGTTGGATTTATAGTCGACGCAACAGGCACAGACAGAGACCAACCCCTCGTCCTGGACAACTGTGTCAACCAGACATCTTGGAGCAATCGCCTCTGTCTGGAACGGCTAACTGTCTGTAGAGGTTGCTTGAATTACCTCCTTACAGACTTATCAGTCTCAATCAATCTAGGTTCCTCAGTGAAATTCTCTTACTGCTATACGTCATGTTGTTGAGTGTCCATATTAGGCTCTCAACATGCTACCCGGTCCCCCGTCCGTCCGCGAAGACAGCATCTGAACTTGCAGACTGAACAACAGCCCGGAGACATCAACTATAAGCGTCGGAAAAGAATAGACAAAGACTTCGAGATAAGCCCAGGAAGCCCTGATCATCAGACGGAGCGGGAAATCAACCCCGACCAAGACATATCCGCCCCCTAACCCCATACCTAGATACCGTAGTCACGATGCCTACAAGAACGCAATCCCAAGTAACCATAACCCGAGAAAACCC